CATTTCTTCACTGTATTGCGATACTTATTCGTTAAGCGAGGAAAGCTATGTTTTTTTATTAATATTAGTTGTATGTTTTGGTTAGGTTATGTGATATGTTGATGTGTTTATGATAAAGTTTCTTCGGTGTTTTCTCACTTTTCTACTCTAAAACGTTTGTCACTATAAACTTTTAACAGCTGTTACTATTCTTTGATGTGTATTTATTTTCTTGTATAAATTATTTGGGTGTCGTTCAGCATCAGCATCATCTGTTGGATTAAAACAAAAGACGACTTAAAATTCAATTTTTATTCCGAAAGATTCCTTTCCTTATAATAGTAGGTATCAAAAGCATCTTATACACAAACCCAAATCAACCGTGATCCATTTTGTTGGTGTTGTAGCATTATTTCACACACTTATAGAATAGCGTTTTTTGTACAATGAGGAATAGTACATATACCACTGCAGTACTCTGATGACTAGTACCAAATATCCATTTTACAGGCACAGTTGTTTAAAGGTCGTGTTAACAGATTGTGTCGGATTCACAATAAAACTATCATCAATGTCATATTTTAAATAACTGATTCTTAAAAATGTATATAAACAAACACATCTTCAGATCATTGTAACATTCTAAGTATATTAGTATTACATTTTAAATTCAAAACAAGTCGTAAAAAAATTAAAATCTCGCTCAGTTTATGACCTAGCCCATCAAGGGGTGGCATAGCGGAGCGGCGCGCAGAGCGGTAATTTGTTCAGTAATGGCTCCCTCGGTATATCTTTAATCTGTTCACTAATTGGATGGCCGACAGGGACGGACTGGAAAGTATTTTCGTAATTTAAAAATATCATGAAATTCCAACGACTTTTTGCATACTTTTACAAATGACTAGGCCATTGGAAATGTGCGCAATTAAAATTTGATGGTATAAAAACATAGTAAAGTACAAATGCGAACCCTTTGGCAGTGCTAGTGTCCATGGGCGGCGGTATGACTTAACATCAGATGAGCTTCCTGCCCGTTTGCACCCTATTACATAAAAAAAATATGTCATGTATATATCAGAGGTCTGAGCCCAACAACGAGGGATTGTAGCGAACTGAATTTTTCCTTAATTCTTTTATATATTTTTCCTAACAATATTATCTTTAATCTTAAAAACAATGCAGTTATCGTGTACAGTTTATTTGATAATTAATTACTCATATTTTCGAAATAGAATTAGGATCACATTCTGTTTGTACCGTGATAATAACTCAAAGATGTTTAAAATATATTCATTGGTGTAGTGATTATTTGTTTCACTGCTGAACCTTTTTTTTATTTTCACAGCCGTTTTATAGGTTATCAAAAAACTTCTAGACATTCTTCACGAAATGCGAATGAATATAGTGAACCATATAATAATGTATTTAGAATATTGTAGCAGATTTCAAATGCCGGAACTGGCAACGCAGTAGCGAGTGCAATAAATGCCAATTTTCACTAATCATCGTAATTAGCGCGCTGACTGTTTGTCAGTTATAGTCCGGGAGCCTGGCAACACTTTAGAGGCGTGAAGTTTTTGATTATTAATTGCAAACAAAATTTTCTCTTCAGTTTAGTATAGGTATATACAGTTTCAAAACAGTTCTGCGTGTCGTATTTTTTTAAGATAAATAGGTATCATCATCATCAATGGCTTTAGGTAATATATCTTGTGCTTATTGTGTCCTACTTCGAACCTATTGCTTTGAGATCCTTGACAACTTCATCCCAACAACGCAGCCTCGGTCTACCGGGTTTTCTTCTGCCACCTGGTTGTGAGTTCAGTAAGGACCATGTGGTTCTATAATAATCCGCTATTCAGTGCACATGTCCCAACCATTTGAGACTTCCATTTTATGAAGTGGACGATGTTGGCGTCGTCAAGGATATATAGGTATGCAAAATAGGAATAGCGTCTCTAAAATCTGGAACTTATTGTACCCACCGCCTGGATAATCGCCTTGTGCATAATTCAATTTAACCACTTCGTAAATATAAGGCAGGTAGGCATGTCCCTGCTCAGTATAGGAGTTTAGGTTTAAGACATAACTTAATGTTTGCCAATACACAAACTGACGGTTTTTATGCCTACATTCGGAAAAGGGTGGTATCTAAAATGTGTTTATCACAAAGAACGATATCTTTAAACGTTGGTATGCTGTCGATGCCAGACTATTTTTTTTGTTTTGTTTGAGAAGAAGAAATGACCGCGCATTTGTCTTAAAGAGTATTATTACTTAAAACATTGATTGTTTTAAGATAAACAAGTATTAGAATACTAGTGTATGTGGTAAGTAGGCCGTCCCATTTTATATCATCAACTCTCACGCCAAAAGGGGGTTGGGCGGAAACAAATTAAAGACATTAAGGTGCTAAGAAATGAACTTGATTGCTTACGAACGCAGTTGAGAGGCGACATTAGTCTAAAAAGTCATTTAGGAATAAAGCCGAAAGTTACGTGTCTGACTTTTGAACACATCTTAATTAATAAACATTTTTCGATTTAGGTAGAGGTTTGGTATGGTACCAAGGCGTCTACAGAGATTCTACGCTATAATTTTTATTCAATACGGCTTTTAATCGAGGCACAAAACTTTTATGTTAAATACACACAGAAATGTAAACATGACATGCTCGAAATACGCATTTTTTACGATCGAACCCCTTCGAGTTAATCCCATTTAATAAACGGTCGTAATAAACAAAAACTAAAAGTTTAATATTAAGTTTTTAAAACAAAATTTACAACCCACACCATTTTGTAAAACATGTATGCGAAAGAGATAGCTGGCTTTTCATTAATCAAGTTAGAGCGTGACAAGAATAGTGTAATCAACTCTGTTATTCCTAACGTTCGTCCGGGGGCGGATTCTCAACTTTTTATTACGAAATTTGAACGCAGCTCAGTTATGTCAGTGGTTAAATTATATCTACCGTTATAAAGAAAGGAAATTATTGAAGTAGTTTTAATATATATTTATTCATCGTGATACTAATAATTTATAACTAAGACCAATATGAAGGTAGAATCAGTTTGAGTAGATACTATTCTGTTTGTTTGATTACAAAAATCGCCAAAATTATACTCGGGCTTTCACTTGTGCGGAAATTTGTTCGTTTCGTACTCATATAACCGAATGACGATTTTCGTCTTTCCTTTATAATACGTGCGTAGGTATAGGTATGTTAACTAAAGCTGGCGGCTTCAACACATTTACACTTTGTGCTTGTGTAGTGTTTGTGAATAAGCGCGAGACGTGATGTCCAACTGAAATAAAATCATAAATACATCATGAATAGACTGTCCGTCGTGTATGAGTGGACTAAAATGTATAGCATGGCAAAAAAATCATATTTTGAAACATACTGTATGTGAAATTGCATTAGTGTGAGTACTGTGAACCCGCCAGCTTTCGATAACCGACCTATACTATACGTGTTCATGTTGTAGTAAAAATATGCAAAGAATATATTATGTATACATATTTTCTTTTAGAACGGAATACTTACCAAACCAAAGATGTTTTCATTTCATTTACTTAAACGCTAGCAATAAAACACACAATTACGCTAAAATCTTTAATATTAACAATTATATACTCTACCGTCACAATAAACTTTCTTACAAATAATATACTCTACGGGACATTGCCTTAACGTCAGACGTGCATCTGTCAATGTCAGTATTTGGTATTTGACAGGTGTCATTGTGGTAGTAGACAAACTTAACCCCATAATTTCTATAATCTATTGAGTTACAAGTAGGACACTGAATCACAACGTAACACGAAAATATATTTCTTAACCAGGTACAATAATTATTATTGTTATAGCATCACTAACTGGAAAATAATAGTATAATTATACCAAAACTTTACTTTTATTTTTGAACCAAAACAAGCCAGTTTATTAATACTATTGCAGTTAAATAGAATCTAAAAATATAACGAAAACTTAAGTTTGCGCAGACACCACAACGCTAGTTAACATAAATATATGTATTCACTTATATATACGTAGCAACAAAGGTTGTACATTTATCGTGCGAATCAACTTATGCACATGGCTAATTGAAATTTCTAACAAAAATATTATGGTTTTAAAGTAATGTTTTATTAAGTACTATATGTTAAAGTCCGCTCAGACGAGCCACCAACCAAATCTGTGACGAGTCTATGGATGACGTTCTGAAACGAGACAGCGCAAACTGACTTCCATACGTCAAAATCCGTTCTTGGCATACGAGAGTCATACTTAGCGTTAAGTCTCGTCCTAAATACCACCCACACATATTGTAATAAAACGATTTCAAATTCCATTGGCTTTGCTTTATGACGCGCACCTTAATTTGATTGGTGAATGAACAACGCTCATTTGTTTGCCCAGTTTAGACGGACACGGCCCGGATCTTCATATGTTATGCGCATTTAAATGTTTGCCGTTTTTGTTTTCAAGGCAAATTTAATGAGATTAAATTATGTTTTCTCCGTTAATGAGCGATGTCTCATCCAAGTTCCAGTAGGACGGACTATTTAACACAACCTTAAACTAAAATGTAATGTAATGACTAGGTATTCCGTCATGAGATCTAGCGATGGACACGGCATTTTGAACGCCGCGAGATTTATGGTAACATTCAAAGGTATTCAAAAACAAATCATACTTAAGCTTTTCTTAGATTACATTTAAAAAAAAATTATGCAAATGTCCGATGTTGTGCACGAAGTTGGCTACCGTGAGCTAAAAATGTATTACATTTTGAAATACAAGTACAAATAATATACTCTACGGGACATTGCCTTAACGTCAGACGTGCATCTGTCAATGTCAGTATTTGGTATTTGACAGGTGTCATTGTGGATAATTTATATAATCTATTGAGTTACAAGTAAACGTAACACAAAAATATATTTCTTAACCAGGTACAATAATTATTTTGAAATGCAGGCGCTAAGGGTAAGATTAAAAATCAAAACAACTTTTAGTTCTCAATTAACCTTAAATACTGCTTCTCCTGGCTTGGCTTAAAAGCCTCATCAGAAACGAATACCGGTGATTTATCTCTTTTTTGAGGTCGTGAATCTCTATCAACCGATTCCGTTGCAGCAAATGATCTGAGTAGTACTGACCAATAAATATTTTCTGCTTTTTATATTAAAAAGTGGAGACAATTTAAATGGTACACTAGTGAGGGAACATTGTAACCAGCTTTCATTAACATATACATATTTTCACAACCAAAATCACCGAATATAATCGTTATAGTTATTGCCAAATAAATATAATTTTAATCAATTTTTCTACCTACCTTGGTGATTATTGTACAGCATGAGTTTATAGCTTGATATTTGTATTTTTTTTTATTATTATCTATGAACTTCTCTATGCTAGTCACACCTTTACATTTATCACCGAAATTTGTTTTCTTGTGTAAATAAATACTCAAAGAACTGCAACACAGAATCGGCTGTTTACATTAGATTTTTGTATGAGTAAATAAATATTCGTATTAAAGATATTCCGAAGGCAGCCCCGAACAACAAAAATACTCTTTTAATAAAAATACTAAAAAACCTAATGTCCTATCTATTTACACAAAACTAGTTAAGGGACATAATTCATTACACATTTACGACTTAATAAAAACAAAATAGGGAATTGTGTCCCTTAAATAGTTTTCATTGCAAACCAATTATAAGGTATTTACACACGTGCGACATTTACTCAGCGACTATTGACTATCGTGTATTCATTGTATTTGCGTCGTTATTTGTCTTATGAGCCCTATGACGAATAACAAGAATGCTCTGTTTTGAGAAATAAGTTTCTTAAATGCTATTGCGATTTAACAAATGGGATTCTACTTAGTGCTTAGTGTTACTTCCATACGTTAGATTTTGACATGTGGGAGTATATACTATATCTTATCCATAGGCAAAGACATGCTGTAGTCCCCACGATGTTGCCTTTACCGTAGTAACGTCAATTGCATATTAAGTCCAATGAAAAGCCAACGTTCGAACGCACAACATCAGGATTGAACGTCTAATGGCTCCATAACAAGCTCGTTTAAAATTTTTACTAGATTATAAGTTTCGACCAAAAAGTCGCACGACTAATTGTCGCACGCGTGTCTTCTACTTAGAAAAAGCTGTCTAGTAACATCGACTATTGCAAGTTCTATGGAAACAAACAGTGGACAGGGATATGTTTGAACATTTATTGGGTTAAGGCGCGTTTTGCGAACACAAATTTTCAAAATGAAAAATATATTAAGAAAGAACCTGGCAAGATTCAAATTTTATATATTTAAATATAAAAAAAAACTAAAATTTCGGAGAACTTAAATCGTCTAGTGAAACATAGTACCGTATAGTATACTACCAGACTAATAAAAATGGTAACCATGGTGTCACAAATATCGTAGGTATACTAATATTTAAAAAAAAAATTCTCAAAAAGCGCCTCAACCTATTGGATAAAACTTATATAATCTAACGCCGCGTATATCTATCCGGGTGAGGTCGTCTCGGAGGGTTTAAAACTGAAAAAAAAAATTACTAAAGAATGTTTTGTCTCGCTCACATATACCAAGAGTGATATAGACAAACCATTAAACGTTTTTTAGTAAGGGCAATCTTTTACATAAGTAAAACAGTTAAAGATATACTAAACAAATTAAGGTTTTAATTAAATATACAGGTGTCCTAAAAAAGAGTCTCAAGCGGTGGTCCAGAGATAGAGAGAGCACTCATAGAGGAACCAGAATAACAACCATGTATGTTTTACCATTATTTGTCGTTTAGATTTTTTATTAGAGTTCAAATCAATTTTGGAACAACCTGTATATATATTTATATAAAATTCATAATTTATTAACTTCAAACAGGCTAAAATACATGAGATAAATTTAGTTTTACAAATTCCCGAACCAATATTTATATGAATAAATTACCTGGATGGACCGGCCCTGGGGATCGTCTGCACCAAGCCCCAGGAGACATCTGAAGATTTTTTAAATATTAGTAGAAATTATATAATAAGGTATGGTTTTAAAGGCACAAATCTATAGGCAAATCAGCGTTGTTCACGTTATTCACACCACTATATTTTTATGACAGAACACTTGTTTGACGTATAGGTATTACAGTAAATATTTTAGTATGTAAAAAACTAATTTATTGATTCCTAAACCTTAATAGAAAACCTTTTAATAATTGATTGATAATGATAATAATAATTGTTGATTATTTCCGTTTCTTTCTTTAGAAGTCAATTGTCAAAATGACAACTGAGTCGCATTATACGCTTCTACATTTATTTATTTATTTATTTTATAAAAGTGGATTGCCCTGCCTCGGTAGAGATATTAGTAAAAATGTAAAACGTCAAGATGACAAGTTTCGCTTGATTGTGATTGGTCCAATGGCCTACATTGGCAAGTCACTTTTAAAAAAGATGTGTGCGTCTCGGGAAGCCCGAGAGAAGTGAAACTAAGCTAAGTTAAACTATTTAATTTTGTAATATTCCGAGGATCATATTCTGCTTAATTCATCATATATTTAATAATATTTTAAAAACGGTGATAGTTTGAGGATCCTCACTGTCAACAGTGACTAACGCACACTAAACACTGAGAGAGAGGGGAAAGCGTCTGTCCGAAATACAGCTAACGCTGCGGGTTAGAGTGAGAGAGGAGGAGCATGCCTACCGCTCCGGTATTGCGTGAGAGAAAGGGAAGCTAAACAGACTAGCGCCGTAACGCGTTACGTAACGAAACGGTTTACCTTCCCATAAGAAGTTAACACTGCAGTTAATGGAGCAAAGCGCATGTGAAGTACATCATTTTTCACTTTAACAATTTTCGTTTAAAAAAAGAGTAGTGAATCTGTGCAATCTTACATTTGAATAAAATTAAGCTTTGGAATAAACATCATACCTGTCGCAATAAATAAGGCGGCCTATATTGCATGGGGAAGGGGTTATCCCGAAATATCCCCCTATTCCTATCCCTATCGGATCTCTCAGGCCGGATAACCGGTCTCTGGCCTTCAGTCCGATCTTTCTCGTCCCTCTCTGGTCGGCCTCTGTAGCGGAAATCTTGTCTTTGGTCCTGTCTATTGTCATATTTTCTGTCGTTGTCTGAAATGTATTTATTTAATTGTATCCCTTCGCTTACATACCTTAATCAAGATGATAACAGCTGTTGTCGAATTAATTTTTTTTTAAGTAACAGGGAGCAGACTGGCAGGATGTTAAGTGATAACGTCACCTTTAGACACACACATTGCCAGAAGACTCGCAAGTCCGTTGCCGGCCTTTACAATTGGTAAGCTCTTTTCATGTTTCAGAAATACATCAGTGGACAGTTGGTTCGTAATGGTGCGCGGCAAAAACTGCCTTAAAAAACGCTCAGTTGTGAAACCACGGACGTCAAGGTGGAATTTCGTATTTTGCCTCGACGTCCGATGATAAACCCACAGCTGCAGATTGCCGACTTTTAAAAATACTTGTGTTCGGGGTTGGGATAAATTATTAAGATATTTAAAGGGATAATTATTTATTTAATGAGCAATGGACTAAACTAGTGGGGTGAGATGAGATTGGGATAAGAGTCGCGCCCGGCACGAGGTCTGAATGCGAACTAACTTAAGTGAATATAATAAGATATAATGAAAATGCAACAAGCAAATCTTATTGCATGGTGTCATTTACATTGCAATACCTGTACGGTTTACAACCGTAAAACTTGATTAGAGGTATCCTGGCGCTAAGCTATGTACACTGCATCAGAAAAAAAAGCTACGCCGTGGCAATCAACTATTTAATCCGTCATTATATGAATAACCTTCTTGAAAGATGGTGATTATTAGTTTTGACATACTAACGTAGAAAAATATATACACACATTGCGCGGTTTTGTATTTCATTCATCTTACTTTATATCCAATGAAGAATTTATTATTACTATCAAATAAATTTACTCAGATTTCATAACCCATGCATAAAGTAACTGCAGTTTGAAGAAAAACATATGCAAAAAGATTACAACATTTTAATAAGTTCAAATAACTTACAATTATTTTTCGCTTGTATATTCCGTATTGAATTGACAATCGCCCGAGCGGCCGAACTCAACTGCGTGTCATCGGTTGGCCTCCTGCAAATATAGTGTTGATAAATAATGCCGAGGCATATATACGTTATACAGGGTGTCCCAAAAGGAAATGCATATTTAATTGATTGATTTAAAAAAAGTAAGTCGTGTATCAAAAAAGTGTTTATTCATTATTAAAGTACACATTTTGGGAATTTATTTCTTAAAAATAATACCGTCCGAATGTAGACCCTCGCGTTCGCGGCACTCATTTAATCGAACAATAAAATTACTTATGACGGCTCGGCAGTGATGGCTACCATTTCGTGCGGATATTTTCTTTCAATTGCGCCAGAGAAGTCGGCTTAGTGGCGTAGACTTAAGATTTATAATAACCCCATAAGAAAATTCCATAGGGGTTAAATCAGGACTGCGTGGAGGCCAATTTATGTCACCTCTCCTGGAGATCAATTTGCCTGAGAAAATTGATCTCCTTTTAGCTGGTTCCACATAGTGGTGGTGCGTGGCAAAAACTGCCTTAAGTAACGCTCTGTTGTGGAACGACGAACGTCGAGGTGATACGGATGGTATTTTATATTTTGCCTTGACGTCCGATAATATAAATAAAAGAAAGTAATTTTTTGCGTAAGGCCAAGTCGGAATACCAGCGTTTTGCAAAGTTATTGTTTTGTTTTAATAATTGACAGTTGTTTATTGTTAACTTAAGAACATATTTTTCAACTTACCCATTAACTCTCCCGTTAAAGTTAGCGGGATAACTCCCCAGTATCCCCGATCCGTTGTTAGCCCTCCAGTCTGTTCTCCTCTCACTCTTATCTTTTGTATTCATTTGCGCCATCTGTAAAATATATTAAATAAGCCTAAACTTTAAGCCCCCTTAAACGCAAGCGTTGAAATTTTAGTTTATTTTTAAAAATGAGTTATTAAATAAATAAATAGGGTTTCAGTAAATGTCAAAATCAGAATCGTGTCTATGGACAGATGTGACTGGTCGTACTTGAATTCGTGTATGCGGTGATGTTAATTATTTCGACTATGTGTTTGCGTGTTGTTCCCACAAAAATATAAGTGCGTGCTCCTATTTCACCATGCCTCCTGCTGATAGAGGACAAGTCTTTGTTTTTTTTAAATTTATGTTATTATTATTAATTACTTTATATGGCATGTGAAAAAATGGCGATTAAAAAGAGTGGCGGAGAGTTTATTGCCAGTTCTTCTCTCCCGTCCTACGCCCTTGATTTGAGAGCTGGCAGTAAATGTAAAATTAGAAGCATTAATATGTATTTCTTTACTCCCGAGTCATAAGTGTACATTATGTTACCTACTTGAATAAATGATTTTTGACTTTTACTTTTATAATGAGAAGAAGGTCTTATGGGAGTCTTACCGCTAACTCTCGTCTCAGTTTCTAAGAGTAAAAAATTTCGTAAAAACTTTGCTCTGTGGATGTATTTAATACATACGAATACTTAAACTAAAACTTAGTAAGTTCTTGCTAATCGCACACAAGCTTACCTGTTCTTTTATCTGCTGTATCTTAGCAGCTATCTCCGTCGAGTCCGTCTCTTCTTTCTTCTCTAGCGGTGTTTGAGGCGTGTTGCGAGAAGAGTTGGGTAGGGAGTTGCGTTTCCTCTGCGTCATGTTGTTCCTACATTCTGGTACTATTGGGTATACCGGCTGAAAGGGATATGGTTGTGGTAGAACCTGAAAAAAAAAAAAAAATGGTGCGTGTACTTATGTACGCGCGTAAGAAGTTATACTTCTTTGGCTTTCTTTATTTTTTTTAAATATTCAATAATTAATAATAAATATTTAGCGATAATAATTTAACAATATTTAATATTTAGTATATTATTCAATTATTAATTAATAATAATAATTATTATTATTTTATTATATTATTAATTCAATTTAATAACTAGGTATGTTTCATAACCTTTTAACTAAGTAACAATAGATCTTTGTGAAAAATCATTGCTAAATTTCTTTAAAAAAATAATTAAAACTCCTTTATTTGTTTAAAAGGTACTACAAATGTCATTATGGTTATTCAAAATTCTTGGCATAGCTGCTAACGTCACGCATATTCTATTTCTTTTTACATGTAGATTGTCTTATTCCCATCTCGCTCGCGCACGCTCGGCGCCCATTCTGATAATTTTGTGTCACGGTGCGCGCGCATCGTAAAATTTCACTCTCATAAATTTTTCATAACGCGCCTAAAGAAGTATAACTTCAAAAAACAAATTTTGCAATGTGGGAAGACAAGTCAATATTTTACGACACCAACAGTTTATATAATGATCGATAAATATAAATAAATGTGACCTCTATGGTGCGGCTATGGGGGAATGTCTGTCTGTCTGCAAGAGCAAGCTAAGGTTGTTAGCAGTAGGCGCATAAAAAAATGTATTTAAAAAAAACGATAATTGCCTAATAAAAATTTGTTGAAGTAATAACCGGTTCAGATTTCATTTAAACATTGACCTCCGGCTTACGTGGTTGTTCTAAATTTTAACAGCTGAAAGTGCACGATACACCAACAGCTCACAAATAATATTATGTATGTGTGAATAGGTGGGAGTAGCATTTAAAATATTGTTTTTTAACAGATTCGAATATTGCTATGTCTTATTCATTTCTCGCTTGCTGTGTGTCGAAGACTACTTCAAGCCCTTAATTATTATGGTGAGTCTGCCCGATAGCTTTGAGATAATCCCACCACCTTAAACCTTTGATCCTACTCATAGGGCTCCATCTGTTACTTTCTGTCTATGGCAAGCTGTACATTGATCCGGCTCGAAGGACCATTTTTGATCAGTTAAAATAAAAATAATTCCCTCAATAATTCTTATCGAAATAAATTAAATCTTGATCGCAAGAGGAGATTTTTGATCGTTGACAGTAGGAATCTCTTGCCGATGTTTACTTGAGGTAAAACTAAATTTATTTGTTTAATTAATTTTAATTTAGATATTAATCAACACTAATATTACAAAGAAAGATTTAAATTCGATATCAAGGTATCACCTGTGGATATACAACGTTGTACGGCTGATAGCCAATGTTGGGGCACACCATGGGATAGACATCGTGTAGCATCAATTTTGGCGCAGCCGGACTGGCTATTGGCACGGGCGGTTGCATTCCCTGCCATTGGATTTGCTCTTGATACGTCTAAAATAATTCATTAGGTACATTCATATTTAATACGCAAAAATATATTTCTGAGGAATTATTATCGGAGTAAGCAACAAAATATTTCCATACAAAAATTCTTTTAAACTTTTAATTTTGTTCAATATGGCGTATATCTTAATTAAAGAAAATTATATTTTAAACAATTAAAATTTACTATCTTTACATATATAATTCTACTGTACGTGTGTATGTAAGTGAACTCTAAAACGGCTGGACCGATCTGAATGAATTTTTTTATTTGCGTTTGGGTGGCACCCTGAATGGTTGAAATTCACAAATCAGCCCGACAGATGGCGCTACAGTCGGTACTTTCGAACTTTGTTTAATATCCTAATCGCTTGAAATATCATACAGGACAACGTCTGTCGGGTCTCCTTTTGCTTGTATATATGTATATATAGTATTGCTATTACAAAAGCTTGCGTTTTTTCAATAGACGTAGGGATTTTAATACTATTACTCACCGGATAGTGTTGTATGGGAGGCTGTAGAATAACGTTTGGAACAGGATAAGAAGGCACCATAGTTGGTACTTCCACTGGACTGTAGCCCATACTATATCTGTAGAAATAAACTAGACAACTTACATAATTGTTAATACATGTTCTGTCGATCTATGGTATTAATAAAAAAAAGGTTTTTGATTTTGTACCACCTATTTATATAAAAAATGTGTGCGGGTACTAGGTGTATACACGTAAGAAGTTATACTTCTTACGTGTTATATTTGATGAGAGTGAAATTTTACAATGCGCGCGCACCGTGACACAAAATTATCAGAATGAAGTTGCCCACTAAAGAATTCTTTTTTAACCAGCCGGTCGCCGAGCGTGCGCGAGCGAGATAGGAATAAGACAATCTACAAGTAAAAAGAAATAGAATATGCGTGAAGTTAGCAGCTATGCCAAGAGTTTTGAATGACCATAATGACCTTTTAAACAAATAAAGGAGTATTAATTATTTTTTCAAAGAAATTTAGCAATACTTTTTCACAAAGACCTATTGTTACTTAGTTAAACTTCCTTATTTTTCTAAAAATGATCTACTATATGCAACTTTACAGAAAATGGTTAAATAAAGTTTAACAAAAGGCTTTTATTATCAGAGACATGAATACAAATACAATTATTTAATTTTACCTTATTACTACTAAGATTATAACAGAATTTCATTAATTGTAATAGAATTATTACTATCATTGTTATCGTTATTATATATTTTTGTTATTAATGGCTTCGAATCTCTTCAGATCAACCATAGTAGGGACAAGAAAAAGATGGCGCGTAATCGAAAAATGGGACGGTAAATTTTTTTCCAACGCCGATAAAGAAGTTTAACTTCAAAAAGCAACATAGCGCGTAACCGAAAAACGTGACGATTTGCTACAAAATTCCTCACATACGTCGATAAAGAAGTTTCACTTCAAAAAGCAACATAGCGCGTAACCGAAAAACGTGACGATTTGCTACAAAATTCCTCACATACGTCGATAAAGAAGTTTCACTTCAAAAAGTTATAATGGCTTTAACTCAATCGAGAATGTCAACCTTTCAATGAACTTCCTAACTTATTTACTTTTTCATAGAGGGGGTCAAAGTAAAACAAAAACCTACCCTCGTTGCAGCACGGGATCTTGACATCCGCCATATGCATTGAACTCAGTTGGATATGGATAGCTCGGGTCTGTAAGTATAGAAAAAAATCTTATAAAATATCGTTAATATTTACGTGCCTTTTATTGAGCAGTGTTGGCCTAGTGCGTTCGAACCCCGACTGTCCACGAATGGACTTCTCTATTATGTGCGCACTTAATGGCGTGTGTCAGGCACAGGAGGCTGATCACCTACTTGCCTTTAGGCTTTACAATGTGTAGTCTACCACTTGCTTATTCAGAATAAAATGATATGTGATGCGGTGTACTTTGAAAAATAAATAAAAATATATTTTTGTCAAGTTCTGAATAAAAATAATAAATAGATTGGATATAAAATCTTATCTTTCAGAAAAATAAGTGTCTTTTTATTATATAACATTTACCTATACGAAACGTGTTATCTGTGTGTGGTGACTGCGGTAAGTGCTTCTGATCTTCTGCTCCCAGCATCTGCTGGTACAGTGGCTGCATTTGTTGATCCTGGAAAATTATATTACTAATTTGTATTTTTCGTATTTATTGTACTTATTTGATGAAAAGAAAGATAGTTTTTGAAGTGAAAACTTCTTTAGCGGTGTTGTAAACTTTTTTGGAATGGGTAAAAAAATTTAAACTCGCGTCAGGACGAATTCGTAAGACGTATGTTTTTTAAAGGACTATGAACCCTCGTGCTATATAGTGACGGTTTTAATTCATTTGTCTCTTTCCTCAGATACATTGATGCATGTGGAATTGGACTTTAAGTCAATACATCAAGGTTTAAGTTTTTCATAACGTCTAAAGCTTTATTATTAACAATTTGGTCAGACTGACGACGGATGGAGAGTAGACAGCTGGCGCGGCGTATTTAATGTAATATAAATTGTCATGTTTGTGTACGATAGCGCAATAAATAAATATTGTATTCTACCAGATAAATGATAGTACTTTTATACTGATAATTAAACCAATTCGTGCAAAATTATTCCCTAACCATTTCAAAATATCAAAAATGCACAATGTTAATATTCAAGTTTTCACTTCTGCCGGCACTCCCGGAGTGCAACCCGTCGTTTTTTTTAAAGGTTCAGTATGATCTGTATCTATGATATTCTTGGAATTGAATAATATTTGAGTATGATATGTGATCATATTATAAATATACGGCTTCCAAATGTGTTTTGTATGTTTGTCTACAGATTTATCGGAAACAAAGTTAAATCCAGATGATCATTTTTATCAGGTATATTTCAAATTAGGTAAAGTTCCATCAAATTAGCTTCACTTGTTTTTATATTATTATTAATAATTTTAGTATTTTAGTTTAAATTGTGTTTGTGTGATGTATCAGTTAGGTTATCAGTTTGAGCTGTATACAAGATATTGTTAGCGGACTGACGCCATCTTGGACCAGAAACTTATACAAGGCGAAGCAAAACCGGCGTTGACTCACTTTTATTTCGAGACTTCGTGCGGAACGGTCGTGTTACTAACCTATCCTCAGTAAATTTTAAAAGTGTAAAAGTACCTACACGTTCTAATCTTGTGTTTTTAAATTTAACCTGCTTCTGTTAACTAATAATATATTATATTTATTTAAAACTTTTTCAAACAGTAATAAGACTGAAAAAATATCTTTTCACAAGTTCAAATTAATGTTCTTAAATTTATATGATAAATGCGATTTGTTTATGATAAATATTTGATACATTGATTAAAACTCACCAATCTACACGGAGTAACGAAAGGATAATGTTGAGGTAGCGTTGGATACATCATGTTTGTTATTGAGACTGGTCCTAGAATAAAAAATCACATAATTGTAACAACAATCTTTTCTTAATACATTAGGCAATTTGACAGTATGGCTTTAAACATAAATTTTTCAAAAATATTTAATATGGAAATATATTTGTCAATCACGTGACACAAAACGGGCACAGATTACTGGAATCGACAATGACGCAGCATGTTTGTGAATAATATTTCTTCACCAATTAAATCCAAGTAGTACCTAGTGTCTTTGAGTTTAATTTCGATTAGGATGCGGGGCGGGGATTGAATTACGCGTTATTATTAATATTATTTTCGACTTTCTGGTACTTTACACCACGAAACGTTTTAATATAAACATGGGGGGAGGAGGTCAAGAATCTCCAAAAATTGCGCGACGTAATATTTGAACGCTCCCTTACTTAAAAAAACGTTTTGGCGAGTTCTAAAAATTATGCTTTATAATTTGAATTTATAAAGCCAATGCATAACTGAATAAAAAATAGCAATTTGTGAAGTTCTTTAATAATCTGAAATGGTTTTAAAAATCGTGTCAAATAGCCTATTGTTGAAGCTGCATAGTTTCAGAATTTGGGTCGGGTTGAAACGATTTGGAAAGGCTATATAATATTAAGCTTAAAAGGCCTGCAACGCACTTTCGAGCCTTTTGACAATGTGTGTTCTTAAGAAGTCGGCAGGAAAAGAACAACATTGCGATTACAAAGAGTGTTTATTGCCAGTTCTTCTCTTCTGACCTTGATTTGAGAACTGGCAGTAAATGTAAAATTAGAAGCATTTAATGTATATTTATTTTTTGACGTTCATTAGTGCACATTGTGTTACCTATATGTATAAATGATTTTTGACTTTTGACTATTGTTGACTAAACACAAGAAATGGCTAATTCCTTTCTTAATAAGGGTGATAATAATAAGGTAATTGATATTGATCTTGGTCTTGTCAAAATTGCACAACGTTAATATTCAAGTTTTCACTTTCAGGTCAAAAATACTTGATTAATGCACAGATACGTACTGATATTAGGATCCTGTATTGGTATGGGCGTCATTTTATTCTGTTGAATAATTTGAGTTTCTGACACATCTTGGTGATAATTCACTATAGCCTGTGGTGGTGGTGTTATCTGTAAAAAAAATGCAGAATATCACTACCGTCGCTTAGTGGTTATGCGCATGGGTGCTGCTTAAGTTGTGACCGTCAGGTTGGCTGACCAAATTTGATATATTTCTCTACCTATTTGATATTATTTGCTACCTTCAAAGACGCATTTGCTACCTCTGCATTAAAGAACATAATAAAGAATTAAAGTCTGACGTCAGGTTGACTGACCACTATCATTTAAATGGGTAAGAATCTTTGAGTAATAGCGTTTTGATACATATTTACTACCTAAGCAAACAAGCTTTAAAATAAGTCTCAGAAGCCTATAAAAAAATATTATTAATATAGCCATGAGGGGTCTAAAAACGCCTACAAAAATGGTTAAGTAAGAGTTCGGCACGTATAACTAATCACAACATTGCATTGTAGGCGTTTTCAGACACCTCATGGCTATATTAATAATAAAAAAATATAGGCTTCTGAGACTCAGGTAGAAAATTGGAAGTAAATATGTATAAAAACGCTATTACTCAAAGTTTACCCAATTAAATGATAGTGGTCAGCCAACCTGACGGTCACCTTAAGTTGCTTCAGCAGATAAAAGTGAAACAGGTGTAGAGCATATACCCGATGACTTATTTTAGGGTTTAACCTCTCAAAAATAACAGGTATACAATATCTAGTTAGCATTTCCCAGACAATTCGGTGATCCTGGATTATATCCTTGGCGAAACAATAATTGTATCGCAATGAAACAACAGCCTTTTTCAAATTCCTCGGTCTAATACATGTATCGTATACCTTCAGATTATAACACAAATTACCAGCAAATAGATATATTTAATATAACTAAAATTGATATTAAAAACTCCGGTATCCTTTATTAGACATTATGGATTTGTTATTCCTCTTTTATTTAAATATATTAGAATGATCAATGTATCTTACAATTTATTATATAATTTTTTTTAGTGACACAAAATAGTGGGTCATTTTTACCAGTATGGCGGTTCTTCAGGGGTCTTATTCAATGAAAAAAGATGGTCAGAGCGCTGGTACAAGCGGCCCAATCGCGTGGGCGTTAGTCGAACTCGTCGGATTAATTACGAAAGTCAAACGATTTGTTCCACTAAAATTCTAGTATTTTACGATAGTCCATAAAAAAAGAGGCGGCAGTGTCCCCTGAAGAACCGCCATACTGGTAATACGCCATAATTGTTTAGATATTGAAAAAATAGTAGCTGTAGAAATACTGATAAGCAAAGAAATAAATAAGTGCATTTACATATTTTTTATTTATTATCATCTCATAATTACCTCTTCCATTCTAAATCCTTGCCCATAGCTACTATATTCCTGGCTTGGATACTGAACTTCCTGTACTTTTATATGATTCTCAAACGTTCTATTTTCAAACACTGGCCGTTGATTGGGCGAGTCATATACCCTCTGATTGGGCGACTCGTAAGGCTTCTGATTGGCTGGCGAATTCGATTCAAACTTTTGAGATTCAAATGATTTTTGGGTTTCGTACTGTTTCTGGTGATCAACAGATTTTTGGTGTTCGAAATTTGAATTTTCGAACCGGTTTTCTGTTTTCTGTGGTTCGACTTCGTATACAGGTTTTGCCTCCTTTTGGATTTCTGATTGTTGTATGGATTCAGGCGATGGAGGTACTTCTTTTGGTTCAATTCCTTTTACTGGACTGTTTGGTATTGAATTGTTTTTAGATCCCGGCGGAGTAGTCTGTCAAGAAATGTGAAATGAATATACTATTGTCTTTGTATAAGAATAGTCAAAGCGAAATCTTAACTTTCATATATTCATAATTAAAATAAATTGTGCGTGTACTAAGTGTACACACGTAAGAAGTGAAACTTCTTTGGCATTATTAAAAATAGTTTGGCTTTGTTCCACCTCCAGTTTTTGATGTTTCACAGCGATAAGATGACAACTCTTTTTTTGTATTCAATTCAGTGCACTTACACTGATTCATCAATTGTTTTTTGTCTCTTGTCCTTATATTTGCTAGATTAAATCAGAAAAATTACATGTTTTGATTAAACAATGTGGTCATTTTTTTAATCAAAACATTACTCGATAATAATAATACATACGGATAGTTAACCTCAATTGTAATGAAGCACTTAGGAAGGTTGATGAGCACAGTTTTTTCACAAATATTAATTAGTATTGGTTTAAATATTCAATTTAAATCACTTCTGATTATAATTCAAAAAGCATTGCTAAATTTCTTTGAAAAAATAATTAAAACTCCTTTATTTGTTTAAAAGGTAAATGACAAATGTCATTATGGTCATTCAAAATTGTTGGCATACGAACTTCACGCATATTCTATTTCTTTTTACTTGTAGATTGTCTTATTCCTATCTCGCTCGCGCACGCTATAATCACACTCCTAATTTTGTGTCACGGGTGCGCGCGCATTGTAAAATTTCACTCTCATAAATTTTTCATAACGCGCCTAAAGAAGTATAACTTCAAAAAACAATTTAAATTATTATAAAAAGTATACCTTCTCACTGTTACATTTCTGACCTCCATTTTGTCTACACTCACAACAGCATTTTCTGCACTCGTTCGTAGGACATTCACATTCTGAAAAGAAAAAAATATTCACCCTTACAAATAAATTAAACTCAGAGTTCAACTGCAATATAAGTTGTATTTTGTCTCTATCCGTCAAATTGTATTTACATCACGATGGAAAGAGACTTTTTTTTTAAATGGCGGAAAATAATACATATAACATTCTCATTTCCGATAATGTCCAATAGGTCGAAATCACTTATATTTTTTATAGGTAACAGATGTGTGTAGTTTTAAAAACCGGTTTTGTTAGTCCAGCGTCGCAACCCCACTACCTCTAATTTTATGTGAGTTATAAACTCTTGTAAACGATTAAAGACAGTTAAAGACACTGCCATTCAGGCGATTGACCACCCCGCGACGGCCCAAACCGAGGTCCGAGTCTCCGGGAGACGCCCTTGCGCCAGCCACGGGAAAAGCACCCATTCAGGCCGAGCTACGCTCGCCAAAATATCCCGAGCTGAGCTTTAAAGGCCCTTAAGGCCAACAGATTCCTTACAAAAAAAATAGACAGTTGACACTTAGCTTCGAACAAAGTGTTTCTTTTATTTCATCAGCCCTCCAACAACCACCACCGAACTTAATTCACTTAAATATTCTCTTTATTATTACCGATTAAAATACTAAAGCATTTCTATACTTACCAGTAACCATAAACGAATGTTGCTTTTCCAACTTTCCCCTTCGCTTTTCATTTGCGTCATTCTGAAAGAGTCAATAATATAAATCCTTTTTGGTTATAATTTTTATATCTACTATAATTAAAAAACGCGTGTAAATTGACTATATAAGTAATCTGAACGTGATTCGTAATCCTGGGTTCAATTCCCGGCGAAATAATTATTAAGTTGGGAGACAGAATGTTTGTGCATTTCGCGTCGACGTTTATAAGTGAAGCCAGAATTTTTAAAATATTTTTACATTTTTTTATAAGCTCTGTATCTGTGTTGTCTTTATATAGCATAATAAAATTGTCAAACAAATCTTGAATGTACGTTTTTTACTTCGAGAATATTTTTTGATAATTTTAAAAAAATATGTAAACGATTCCCAATATGAAATAAATTTTCTAATTAATATTTTACGCGCCCGATACAAGAAATAATTTAATAACTGTAATAGGGTAACTTGCGTACAAATTTGACTTAACAAACGAAAATTATAAATTTAAAATTAATTTAATACGTAACAACAAAAACTTTTTTTTTAAATAAATCTTCACCTATAATTAATACAAATATAGATAATACTTTACATAGATTTCTTATGAATATATGACATGACTATGTAATGTTTCCAGTACATTAAATTTGTTTCATACCTTATCATCTTGGTAAATAACGGGTGGGTTGGCCGGATCGAAGTGATAAATGGAGCCGTCCGGGTTTGTAAGAGGACGTCCGGTCTGCAATTATATTTACGCATTATCTATGGTGCGTTGCACTAAGCGCTCACGACGATCACGCTCACGACCGCTGATTTCCCCATTCCACTTGATTGTGAATGTTACTGTCGTTAACTCAAGTGGAATGGATTATGGAGCGTTTCGGGCGTTCATGTAAATATTACAAATGTCAAGTTTGAAAATAGTAGAATTTTAAGGAGGTTAGGTAATCATAAACAATAAGTTTTGATATTTGTGACTTAAATTTATTTATGTTAAAAGTGAAGAATATCATCAAACATCAAACAACTTAAGTTTAAATAAAATCGAAATGGCTTTACAATTTCTCTTTCTGAATCAAATAATGTGATTTTTCTTGTCGCCATCTTTAAGCTTTGAATATAATAATATTATTATTTGTCATATTTCAAAAATTGCGCCAAATTATTCTCAACGTTCACAACGACCCACCTCTTTAGATGGGTCGTTGTGAGCGTTGCGTGAGCATTTGTCATGACGTCATGAGTGACGTTTTCGCCGTGACCACAACGACCGCGGTCGGTATGTGGAATGGCTAAAGGAGCATTTTGATCGTCGTGAGCGCTTAGTGGAACGCATTATCTAATATCGCAATAGGATAGTTACCATGGCAACAGACTTACTCGACGCTTTGTAACATGATACCCACGTTTATAAGATATCAAGAGGTATGTACAGATTTGAGAATTGTAGAGGTCAAATTTTTTTGTAGATTTATATAAAGTTTCTTTAACAGGTAACAATCCAAGAGCAGCGTCAATCTAGTGGCATCAACACAAATATCATGGCGTGGAAATCGGCATTCCTTGGTATATATATATATATATGCTACTAGCAGACCGGCCAAGTGTTGCCGTGGCTAAGGTTTTTGTTATATTCCATAGTAGCAAACACCAGTCATGGGGACCACCATGCTTTTATGGTGGTTATGCTATTAAATTGTAACTTATGTGAAACGTTGGTACTTTCAACACAGCGCCATCTGTTAGAATTGTGAATATCAAATAATAAACAAATAATATTGCAATAAAATAATATTGCGGGTATAAATTGAGATGTAAGCTATCCTATCTTTTAAGTTAGATCAAACTGCACACGGTGTGCAAATTTGATTGAAATCGGTTAAGTAGTTTAGGATAGGAGTCCATAGCGGACAAACAACGTGACACGTAATTTATATACATTAAGATTTTTAATTGTTAAACGTTTTATTATTTTTTTTGTTTTGAGGTGGTTATAATATATAACATAACTTAAACAATTAAAAGAAATACCTGTGGATGTATAACAATAGCTCCCGGCGGTACAGAAGACAGGTTAGTCACCGCCCACACGAGGGTCGCGGCTTCGGTGCCTGGCTCGGGACTTGCTCCGCCTGAAAATATTAACAATTCTTATTACTCTATAGTCTTATAGTATTTCTTATTGACTTCTATAGTTTTTATGTTGTCCTGAAATGCGTTGGCTAGTTTTATTGTATAAAATAAAGATTGTTCTCAGGGATGTGACTCGCACGCTGTAGGCACTAGGCCAACACTATATATACTTATGCCTAAATTATTGAATGTTGCTCAATAAACAGAATTACATGAAAAAAATGATGAAATACCTGTCGGCGACGGAGTGACGGAGTCAGTGCTACGCAAACTCAACGTTTTGTATCCAGAACTGGATGGTGATAAACGCCAGCTGCTTGAAGCCAAATCACCTAAAAATATTAATATTTAAGAACAAGAAAATGCATTTTTTAACCATCATTTTGTAAGAAAAGTATTTAAAGTGCATGCGTACAAAGTACACATGTCATAAGTGAAACTTCTTTGGCAAACTAATTTTTAAGTCTTGTTCATATTTATACCAATTTAAAACTTAAGATTTCCGAGACTTAGAAGGGGAAATTTATATTTAAATTACAATTCGTCATTTGAGATTTCAATAAATTATTTTGCATAAAATATAATTTCTATAAGCTTATTCGCGCCTTCTCTCTCTAACATCTTCGTGACGCTAATATTATTATTATTATTGCGTTTCATCCATAAAAATTTTACCCTCGTGTGCCTAAAGAAGTTTCACTTCAAAAATACTCATAGTAATTTTCGTATAAATCACAACATTACGTGAAGAAATTCAAAGAGAGAGAGAGAAAGTAATATGGAGAGTGAAAGAGAAAGATACAGATACAGAGTATATTAAGATTTTTTATATTCAAAATGTACCAATTAAGTAAAATGGTATGATTTTGAATTATTTATGGGCAGGATAATTCCTAGCGAGGACGCCTCGCGCTCTATGAATATTAAATGTAATTGAATTACCTTGTCTGCTAAGCAATCGTGGCTGTTGTGGTTCAGCCGTATATCCTCCGAAACTATGGCTTTTGGACACAGCACCTCGGGAATTTGTCTCTTGGCCCTGGGACTCAAGAGATTGGACCTATAGTAATAATAATGGTCTTAGAACATAAACATCTTTAAACTGGTTCAAAATTTTTAGACTTACCACCTAGGCTGTTTTACTTCCGATAACACAATAATTATACTCTGATTTTTTTATTTCGTAGAATTCTGACATTACATAAATTTTGTTACTAAAAAAGTTCTCCACCGAAAAAGGGACAAATTTGACTTATTTGAGAGCTATAAAAAAATGCTACGTATTTTTTATGTTTTACCTACAAAAAGGTAAATCTAAATATTTACTTACTCAAGTGACCTTATACAAAAATAACAAATATTTCAATATCACGAACTATATATCGAATTAACTTTAATTACTTAATTTTATTCTTTAGCTGGCATCATTGCCTACTAATTCCAGGATTAGTAAACCTTTAAAAAAAATATTATCATTAGATACTTGTGCGGTTTTTACTGTTTGTGGTGAAAACTGAAAAGGGGCGTAATTATCACTCGCCGTTAAACTACATTAAATGTGGAGCATGGCACTTAATAAAATGGATACCTTAACTAACAATAAAATGTATGTATAGACTCAGATGTTCAGACTCGTATTGAAATTGAAAAATGTGCCCGACCAAAAAGGTTTGTAATCTCTGAAATGTCAAAAAATGATGGCTGTCAGAATTCCCCTGAATTAAAAATCAGAGTATAGGTTCAATGAAGAAGATCTGAAATTTGTCTGAACAGGCATGCGATTTCTAATACATAAGTTATTTTGTATCAACAATCAAATACAGAATTTAGTTATTTTGAAGCTGCTGCTTTTGTCAGATCACTCTTTTTAAATTTTTAGCCCCTTTTTTTATGTTTTATCTATAAAAAGTGTTTATATATAAATTATACTCTATAACAAGAATTTACCTTAACAAGTTTATTCTTTCCGCCCTCAGGTGTTAGAAGCTTGACAGGTCCAGAGGGGAGCCACGGCCATTGGCTCTCGTCTTGTGTACAGTTGTCCTATAAGCAATGAGAGCTATAGACAAATATGCAGATGTAATCGAAGTAAATTACTTTAAAAAGGATATGAAAGTACAAAGGAAGGTAGGTCTAACTAAAAGGGATTGTTGTATGATGTCTTTGTAAGGTGATTAAATTTTATAGGCAAGGTGCCTTTAAAGGGTGACTATTAACACTATAAGTTTGATAACAATTATAAATAACTCAACATATTTTAAAAACACCCTAATTTCAATAGAGAAGACGGCCTAAAATTGTCAAACACCTGGGATCCAATAATATCCAAATTAAAATCTCAAGAAAAACAATCCGCGAAAATAGAGGACACCGTGAGCCATTTTTGCCAAAACCCTCCATCTTTTAGTCGATACCAACTCCGGGGTAATAAATACAGATAAGGCAACTTTCTCTACAGCTGTGATACTTTTGACATCCAACATCTTTTGTCTTCAGTCACCGTGACCACGCACGCTGTAAAGCACACGAAACGTCGGATAAATTTAAAATTATGTTAAATAGTTGTAAATTTATAATAATACATAACTTCAATCCGGTCAAACAGTTTTTTCTTTAAACTCAACATATTATTATGACATTATGAAAATTATGACATTTGCATGCCTAATGGCTGATTGTGCGGATTTTTACCCGAAGAACTTGTACACACAATTACTTGAAAAAGATATAAGTCGATGTCTTTGTGATTTTTATAAATTTGACGATTATTTAAATGATCCTAATCCTTGGTATTGATTTGCTCCAGTTCAAACAAATTGTATGTCTCAAAACTTGGCGATTAAAAAGAGTGGCGGAGAGTTGCCAGTTCTTCTTGCCTGCTCTACACCCTTGACTTGTGAACCGGTAGGAAATGTAAATTTAGAATCAATTTAACACCTTCTCTGTTGACGTTCATAAGTGTACTTGGTTATCTAATTGAATAAACCTTTTTTGAGTTTATCATCATAATCATATAAACCAAATGATCTAATCTCAGACTTTAAGATATGATGAAAAGAGATCATGGAAGGTAGGTAGGTAAGGAAGTGCTTAGATGAAATTGCTTATGAATATAATTTCCGTCTAAAATATTATCTTTTATCCCTCTCTCACCGTACTAAATATCCTCCGTCTCGCTCTCTCGTAATCCCTTTCGCGTTGCTCGAGTGACTTACTCCTCGGCGCGTCCGCACCGCCGCCGCTCGATTCCGAAACGTTCCCCGCGCGTTTAAGTATCGATCTGCAAAAGGTAGTATAAAATGTTGAATTAATTATTGTTAATTGTCATATTACATGAGTAAATTTTATAAGTGAAAAAATTTATACGTACTTAGCGAGTGTATCATCGTGTCTCCTTGGAGGTGATTTGGGGAACACTCGCGTGCACCACTGTTTGAAGCTGGTGCAAGGGATCCTACCACCACTCGTGCCTGTAATATTAAATTAGCTTCAAGATACATATTTGCCATTAACATACATAATTGATAAAAAGTAAAAAGTGTGGCACTCGGGGACTGCCGCGGTAAAGCTATTGCATAGCATTTTTTATCAACTTATGCAATTAAAATTATTTATTTATGCAGTTTTTTTTTCTTTGGTATTAATTCAATCTACCACTCTACCAGACTCATCGCTTACGCTACGTCATCTATCTCATCAGAGAGATGTGAATACGCAGTATGCATTCTGTCCCGCTCTAACGCGTATTGGCCGCACCTATCGTGTGTTAGGTTATTTTCGTTACGGAATTTCTTGATTTGGTCGCTCAAAGCCCGCGATAAAATCTATGCAATAGCTTAAAAATGATCGGGTTTGTATTTTAAAAAATCTGTACTTTTGTCTTGACAACAGTCATAGAGAATCATTTGACAGATCCTAAAATTAGCTGAGTTTGTACTTAGTAGGCTCCTAACTAAACCTAAACATTTTAATTGTCATAAAACTTTATTTCTTGATATACATTAAGAACTATTTTGAACCAAACTAACTTAATCTCTACTCACCACTCTTAGATACGACCACACAGGTCTTGTTAGCGTGGTCGATATGATGCGCCAGTTGAAACAACGCAGCCACCCGATGAACCAACATACGGCCGTATGACGTCATCACCGGAAACCGCACTATGCAACGACTGAAAAGGTAGAATAAACATATATGAATACTTAAGTTGAAAGGGATCGCTAGGGTCCATAGAGTCAAGTGTAGTGCATATGTCACCGTAAAATTGTAAACACCGTAAGATTGTAATCTATCTCGCGAGATTGTGAACTGTCGAAAGATTGTGAACCTCAACGTACTGCTTACAATTTAACGTATTCGGTAGATTGTAATCTATCGAAGTGAAATCGTCAAATTACAATCTAACGGTGTTTACAATTTTACGGTGACACATACATCATCCATGAACTTATTTATTTAAATAATTGTATTGTTTCTTGATAAGAAAAATATTGTTAACTCCTGGCGTATAAACCTGGGTTGTTCGTAACACCCTCACGAACATACTTCACACCATCACGCAGCACAGCCGAAATAGGTATTTTAAAAAATTATTGATTTTTCCTTTCGTAAATATTTTGAACCTTTTTGTGTATTATGTATTCCATCTTTGCCTATATGTTTAGTTTAGTTTTTTGTTGTATATACTATATGTAAGCTGTAGGATTGCGAAATAAATACATAAATAAATAAGCAATCAAGAGATCAATGAAACAGATCTATATACAACATTTTGCCGAATTTTTTACAAATTTAGTATAGTTTTTTCCCTGTTTTTCAGTAAGTTTCATCTTAAATTATTTAACATGGACTGGCAATTATTTTTTGGCTAAAGGATTCCAGAAAAATAAACTAACAATCTCTAACATAGTTCCGTGACATTATGTATTAAAATGTGAAATTTTTTGAATTGATTGCCATCATAAAAAAAATCTGGTCCACTTCGACTACGGTGAACGTTTTTTTTAGAATTTCCTTTCCTCACCCAACATCGCTGACAAGTGCGTGCAACTCCTTTTCAACCTTCAACAGTGTGATCCTGTCCTTTGGATTCTTGTTGAGCGTGTCTCTCAGGAAATTCACCAAATCCTGGTCCGTCAGATCCGTTTTGTCGTCTAAAATAGAATTTCAATGTAATCCAAAATTATACGAAAGTTTAAGTTTACGTCTCAAGACGGAAATAGAAATCTAACCACGCCTCTTAAAAAATGTATACATCAATCAATTAACTTTTACTGAACGTTTTAAAGTGGACTGTCCTGAGTTGTTAAGTACGGTGTGTTTCTGAGTGTATAAAAAAACAACCGGACATTAAAAACATTTTTCTATTGTATACACCTTAAGTCTAGAGTCTAGACCATCATATCTCAACCATTTGTATGTCGCGACCCACGAAAAAGGGAGCGTTCAAGTATTACGTAACGAATTTTGGGAGGGGAGGGGGTCTATTTGTAAAACGTTACGATGCGGGGCGGGGATTGAATTACGCGTTATTGTTAATATTATTTTCGACTTTCCAGTACTTTACACCACATAATGGTAACTTTTAAGTATTTAAAGAGACACTGGGTGGTCACGAAACGTTTTACTATTGGGTACAGAAAAACGTTACGGGGCGTTACATGGGGGTTGGGGGGAAATTACGTGACGTAATACTTGAACGCTCTCAAAGCTAAAAAGTTATGTAAAACAGTTTTGCAACCCCGTCACTATAAAACATATTTAAAAGGCACGGAAGGAATAAAAGGAATAGAGAAATCATATCTAAGTACTGACGTATCGCAGTGGCATCAGTTTGAATTCCTTAAACGTTTACAAAAATATTGATGCATTCTTGGCCCATATAGCTCGTCTGTACTTTGATCCAGATATAATAATTTTAACTGAATGCTGGTTAAACGACAATAAACCCATACCCAGTCTCAAGGATTATAATTCTTATTTCACAAAAAAATGCTTAAATCAAAATGACGGTATTATAATTTATGCTAAACAAAATATAAATTGCGAAATTGAAGAACCTAATCCTAAAGATGCTAACTTTCTGCTAGCTAAAATAGTACCAGATATTGTACTTTTAGCTATTTATAGATCACCATCCTTTTACTACACTGAGCGCTTTTTGAATGCTTTGAATGATATTGTTAAATCTATATCATCTAAGAATATATTTTTAATAGGTGATATAAATATCGATATAAAACCTGGAAACGGTGACAGAAACAGTAACTCTTACTTAAATTTAACCAGCGAATTGGGTTTTCTGCCAGGCCACACATATCCAACACGATTAAGCAATTGTCTCGATCATGTAATGGTTAAAACTGTTTTACAAACTAGTGTTATAGTGATAAATTCCACCGTAACTGATCACGACTCTATTCTAATAAATCTATCCCTTAACAGTAAACGGACTAATACTCAGTGCCCTTCTATTGTTGAAAGAGTAAATTTTAGTGAAGCTATAAAATATGTTGAATTGGCTGATTTTACTTTTATGACTAACAAGCAAGACGCCGAGTCTGCTGCGACTCGATTTGTTGAAATTCTGTCATCTGCTATTAAAGCTAACACTGAAAAAGTCCGTGTACCCAGGCGCAAAAAATCTCTTAAGCCCTGGATGACTCCGGGCCTACTTCGCTGTATCCGTCACCGGGATAAACTGCATCTTAATTTAAAAAGGACCCCCAAAATGAAATTCTTAAAATAACCTATAAAAGGTACAGGAATTTTTGTTGCTCATTACTTAGAAAATTGAAGCGCGAACACGATAAATTCTTATTAAAAAGTGCAAAATCAAATAAAGAAACCTGGGCTGCAATAAAATATGTCACCGATAGTTCAAGTAAAAAATCTTCTGCCGATGAGTTAATTAGGAATTGTAACGCATTGGATGCGGTTGAGGACATAAATAGTTATTTTTCTAATGTTGGTAGAGAGCTAGCTGAAAAACTTACAGGGTGTAAGTATAACTACAAATGTACAAGATCTAATTGCTTGACTAACTCCTTCGTACTAATGCCACCAGATGAGGCTGAGGTGGAATCTCTCATCTTAAGCTCAAAAAATGATTGTGCCACTGGTTGGGACTCTATACCAGCTCGATTTCTAAAAATGGTAAGACATGTCATTGTATCGCCGCTTACTATCTTGTTTCAAACATGTGTGAGGGAAGGCTGCTTTCCAAAAGTCTTTAAAAGGTCTCTCATTACTCCTGTTCACAAGGGTGGGGCACGGGATTGTGTTGCAAACTACAGACCGATTTCTGTGCTTACAGCACTATCAAAAATCCTAGAAAAGATGCTTAACGTGAGGTTAATACAGTTTTTAAATCGGTACAATATTCTGTCCAGCTCACAATTTGGTTTCAGAATGGGTATGTCAACAGAAGACGCTGTGGGTAGCTTGGTTGAGTTTGTCACAGAAAAACTTGACAGGAAAAAAAAAGTGCCTTGGTGTCTTCCTCGATCTTGCCAAGGCATTTGATACCGTCTCAATTCCTATACTTGTGGACAAATTGGAGCGAATTGGAATAAGAGACTCAGCCCTGCTTATTTTTAAAGATTTCCTTAGTGGTCGGGTGCAAAGGGTTAAGATTAATAATTATATTAGTTCCGACGCAAATGTAATTTTTGGAGTTCCGCAGGGCAGTATTCTTGGTCCAAGTCTTTTTCTTATTTACATAAACGACCTATGTAATTTGTCCCTAACTAGTTGCAGGTTGTTTACCTATGCCGATGATACGGCTATAGTTTTTTATGGGGACACCTGGACCGAGATACAAAATATTGCCGAAAGCGGACTGCAGAAGGTGGCTAGATGGCTCAGGGAAAATTTACTTACTTTAAATATTTCTAAAACTTCGTATATTCAGTTCCAAACTATTAATTCCCATATGACTGATATTAATCTTAAAATACACATATGTGTCTCTGAGCGAAATTGTACTTGCATTAATATAACAAAATCCAATACCATTAAATACCTCGGTATCGAATTAGATAATAAATTGAGTTGGCTACCTCACATTGAGATTATAACGGCACGCACGCGAAAACTAATCTGGACATTCAAAAAATTACGTTATGCCGCGGAATTTGAACTACTCCGCACTGTTTACTTTGCCTTAGTAAAATCGGTTATTGGATACTGCGTGAGCGTGTGGGGTGGAGCGTGCAAGTCACATCTAATTCAGCTTGAAAGAGCCCACAGATCTTTACTAAAAGTAATGACTTTCAAACCCTTCAGATTTTCAACCACACTTTTATATAAACAGTGTGAGCTCCTCAGTGTTAGACAGTTATTCGTCTTTAATATAATAGCCAAACAACATGTCCATACCCCTTATAACCCAGAGGTTTGCAGTAACAAACGCTGTATACCAAATGTACTCCCCACAGCAAAATTCCGTACTACCTTCGCAAGGCGACAACGAGCATATCTCTCAGTCTTTCTATATAATAAAATAAACAAAAAATTAAATTTCTACCCTCTTTCACTACATGACTGCAAATCAATTGTTAAGACTTGGCTTTTGTCCTTAAATTATGAGGAAACAGAAGATCTATTTAACTAACATGCTACAATAATGTTTTAGTTATTTTGATTCATTAATTATGTGTATAATTTATATATTTATACTAGTGTTACATATACCCATATGTAAAATGTATAATTATGTATATTTATGTATTATGTATATTTATGTATTTTAGTATTTTATGTGTATGTACCTATTTTATTACCTATTATATTCATTGTAATTTATACTGAAACATTTTTTTCAATATATGTTATTTTTGTTTAAGTATATTATGTGTAACAGGATAATTAGATGTAATATCTGGAATTTACAAATGTCTATAAAAAGTATTGTCTTGTAAAATTTTGAATAAGCTCTCTTGACACTTGTTACGAATTATATTGGGAGAAGCCACTGACTCCTGAGATACAGGCACTAAAGCCTAGTTTAGGTGTCAGAGTCTTCATAGGATTTCTGTAATTACAAATATGTCAATAAAGATTATTATTATTATTATTATTATTATTAAAACGATCACTATTTGAAGAGTATTCGCCTACGCGTTAAGAATGAAAGTAGTGAAGCAAAAGAGGTATGTCAAGACTATACAAGTGGAGATCCCTGCCTATACGTTCGAGGAAAAGGCGTGAAGATATACATTAATAAATAAATATAAACGCAAATTAATTATATTACATAATTCGTCAATTCGAATGTGATAAATTCGCATTTATATGAAAAAATTGTGTAAATGGACTACTGGCGAAAGACCAAAGACGTGTAATGCTGATAAAATAACATTTTACCTGCATCATTTCCGCTTAGCGATAGGTTTTTCGGTTTGTCTTTACGTTCTGGACACCTGTAAAAGTTAAAACATAACTATTATTATGTAAAGTATTTAACACTTTGTTATAATTGTATAAATAAGAACGAGCTACTGAAACGGTAGTACCGGGGCGATCCCAAATTACTTATTGGAACGAAGTTCCTTATCGCGCGTTGTGAAAGGGGGCTAGACGGAAAAAATTCTTACGAAAAGTTGTCACGACACTTTTTTGCTATTTGCTATTGTAATACACCGGTTCTCGTCCGATCACCGAAGTTAAGCAACGTCGGGCGAGGTCAGTACTTGGATGGGTGACCGCCTGGGAGCACCTCGTGATGTTGGTTTTTTTTTTCGTCGTAAGATTGGTGTCGAGAAAATCTATCATACTGTTATGATACCAATTAACATATAAATTAATCGAAAGGAATTTCGTTCCATCCGGGTGTCCCTTGACACCTCTAAAGTTTTTTTTTATTTCCCAATGAAACTCACCTGCAGTAAAATGTCTGATCATCAACATCCACACTACTAGACTTTCCATTTGCACCTGGAAAAATTCACCTATTACAAATTTATATTTATAACAAAGACTTGTTATGGCACCTTATCGAATAATTACAAACACTTAATTAAAATTAGTTATTTTTAAAATATTAAACAAATATATTTATTTATTAACACTTTGTTGCAGAAATATAATACAATTGACACAATTAAATGAAAAGGAGGGCAACTGGCGGCATTATCGCTTTCGAGCGATCTTTTCCAGGCAACCACTATAACATATTAATAATAATTATCCTATAATATTCTAATTTCATATAAGGAAATTTCAACACAAAGGCTCAACTTGAGTATAATTCAAAAAAATTCAAAAATCATTTATTCACGTAGGTAACACAATGTACACTTGTGATTCGTCATTAAAGAAATACATATTAATGCTTCTAATTTTACATTTACTGCCAGTTCTCAAATCAAGGGCGTAGAACGGAAGAGAAGAACTGGCAATAAACTCTCCGCCACTCTTTTTAATCGCCTTGTTCTTTTTACACAACGTTTGTAAGGAACTGCAACCATTACACCATGTTCCACATGACATCTTAAGTAATTAATAATAATAATAACATAAATTAAAAACAAATAGTTGTCCTCTATCAGCAGGAGGTATGGTGAAATAGGAGCACGCACTTACATTCTCGTGGGAACAACACGCAAACACATAGTCGAAATAATTAATATCACCGCATACACGAATTCAAGTCCGACCTGTCACCACTTGAGTATAATATGTAAAATCAATTAAGCAATGTCATACTCATATATAATATAAGTAATGTCAAATGTCAAGATCGTTGACATTCCAAGTTTGAACTCACCAATATTGTCAAGATCAGAGCAGTCGGGACAGTCCACAGAGCAAACTATACCAGAGTCCTGTTTAATCGCGCACATGTGTTTTCGTTTACCCCTGAAAAGAATATATTCGTTAACAATGCGATACTAAAATATTCTGAAATTTGTATGGATAGATATAGAAGTTATCTACCAACCCGATATTATCATTGTTTTACCAGAAACCAAAGGGGCCGTTCAAGTACTACGTATATCCCCTGCAATGTATATTTACTGCAATATATCCCCCCCCTTCTCTCCTCTACTGTCGGCGCAAGTAAGCAAAGCTCTAAATGACAATGTGTGGGTTACACATATTACCCAAAGTAAATAATTAGTGTGACCTTGAAAATCAAAGAAGAAACGACGACAGTAATCTTAAAAGTTCTCTTTGATGATTGAATCAAGAAATTCTAAATTCGAATCACTTTAAACTGCTATAGAATATATGTCTATTGCTTATACACCGTTTGGTATTGTTGCTGATCTTTAAAAAAATGGATTAAAAAATCTTTGCGATGTCACAGTTTCTAGGAATAAATTATATATTTAAATATGAAAACTATTTTAGTTCCCGTTCACAGTGAAAATAAAGAGACTTTATTATTAATACCTGCAGTGTGGACAAGCACACTTTCCACAGACGCAAGTAACACGAGGATTATATGAGAGAAAGTCCCTAGAGGAGTCCGAATGCGGTCTTTGTCCCAACCAACGTCGTGTGCGGAGACGCTGCTCGCTAAACCCTTCCTCCCAGCCGCCCGAGGTTATCTGAAATATTAGTTAAATCATTTATAACTATTTTCAAACCTTTCGGTACTCTGTTACTACCCTTAAACACACCACACGGTTTTATCCAGATCTAAATCCATCGGTCTGTAGAGTGCTTGGAGAGAGAGAAGTGAAATGCTCGAATTTCAAAATTTATCTAATATATAAAATTCTCGTGTATTCGTTCCCATACTCCTCCGAAACGGCTCGACCGAATATTTTGAAATTTTTTATACATATTCATTAAGTCTGAATCGGCTACTTTTTATCTTTCAAACCCCTAAATGATAATAGGGGTGTCCATCCCAGATTTTTATTTTATTTAATAAAAATGTTTTATTTTTTTATGATACAACATACAAAAATACATACAACCCATCTACGATTAACCCCTTTATTTATTATTGTAGATAGTTATTTTTATTGAACTAAAAAAATGTTTCCTAGAAATAATATACATGGCAAACCGATGTTAACCGGGTCAGCTAGTAATGTATGCCTTAAATCTGAACAAAGCTTTGCAGATGCTGATGATGCACTTGTATTGGATAGTATATCGGTTGTCAGCCCAGTCGCAATTTTAATAGTGACTGCTTTTCCGTTAAGCTACGGTTTCCTAGAAATGCGGTGCCGTTAATAACGGCCGTCTTTACGGTGGCCAAGCTGTGGTTCCCTAGAAAATAGTGCGACCGTATTTTTGAAGTGTTATTCCAATTTCGTTCCACAAATTTTTCTTCAATTTTACTTCACCTGAGCTTGTCTGTACTCTTTGGATTTGATATTGTACTTTATGATTTTTAACAAAATCATTGTATTAATTAATTAAATATGGGCTCTACACGCGAAAAACGTAGAACTACTGTTTATCACCGCTATGACGGCCGTCATGCAAATGACAGCACCGCTATTTGACGTTACGGTGACACTCAACGTTCTCTAGAAAACCTACTCCGATGTTATTTATAGACATCGTATGGGTGACGTCACCCAACGTTACATTACGGCCGTTACATAACGGCACCGCTTTTCTAGGCAACCGTAGCTTTATGCAGTGCCTAGTCCTATCGGAGTGAGGGTGAGATTCAGAAACGATTTAGCATGAATCGTATGTCATATCGACATTGTATTCAAAAACGGTTGACGTTGACTCAGTATATGCCAACTGATGAAAATCGGCAGCTTGAGAGACACTAAGACACATAATAATGAATGTTGTAACTTATTACACAAATAAACATAAAATACTTCACTCAGCTAAATAAATAATAATAATTTATTTATTGCAAGAATATGTTCCTAAAACGTGTAAGGTGGTACAATCGTAAGTTCGCATATTCTGCCACACACAATGGCGCGGAAATTTGTCTTAAGGAATTTTACATTATTAGTCAAGGTCAATTCTTATGGGGCATCCACACGCTGGCTGTTTGTCACAAACACCGCAAAAAGCAAACGAAGTCCCAAACACCAACCACAATCACCCAACACAAACAGCCATCCACATGCTTGGCGAACGTTCATAACATTCCGAATCGGCAAACATGGCGGACGACGAGCTTGTTGCAGCTATTACTTTCGGGTTGACATATTTTTATTATAAATTAAAGCAAGAGAAAGAAAAAAGGAAAAAAGAAGAAAGCAAAGACGATGGTGAATGATTAAAATACATAGAAAGCGTACAAGGCTTTAGACCTATTATTTGAGCTTTACTTTGCCGTGTTTTTTTTAAATTTACTTAAAAGTTACTTAAAAATGTCAGAATCGTAGGTGCTCCAATCAGACATTTTTTACGCTTTGCGCGCCAACGAAAGTGTAGCAAGTAAATACGTCCGCCTCCCGCAAGCTCGCGCGCATACTGATCGCTGCCAAACGTGTGGATACGTAGCAAACTGTTTGCCAAACATCCTTTGATCTGGCAAGATAAACCGACACCGATGCCGAACACTGCCCAACACGAACACAAACAGGCAAACAACGACAAACACCCATCCACACGTCCGTGTTTGCTGTTTGCTGTTAGCTGTTTGCCATTGTTTGTCAAGCGTGTGGATGGGCTTTTATATTATTTGTATCGTACATATCATATTTTATTAAATTTATATCAACTACACTGTTTCACGCAAATAATCATTATGAATAGTACATTTCTTCCATAAGTAATACACCAAATCGCTTTTTAAAGATGCTAGTCGGAAGATCTTTTAATTGTTTTGGTAATTTATTGTTAACCTTATTGTGAATATACATGTATAATGTATGTTTAAAATAAAAATGTCACTTCTGTTTGTTATTTTTTCCTTAGACTACAAATTGATGTTTCTGGCAGTTTTAGATATTAATACGTTTAAATATCCTTTTGCTATGAATACATTTCTATCGGCATAAGCCGGGTCGGAGATTCGGCTTAGCCCGGTCTGCGACCGTCTTACAGTACGTCTCTGAATCTCAGCCTGGGAATTATAGTAGACAATATTTGTACTTGTGTCCCTACGCACAATAATATCTAAGCCTTTTTCGATATAATTTAAGATTCGTCTCTTTCTATTTACGCTGTGGTAAAAAGAGACAGACAGTACGAAGACTTTTAAACGACTTACCTGTATCTGCACTGGAATCTTCTCATCGTCAATGACATTAGTGACGCAGCGATTATGTTCCTTCTCTTTCTCATGCTCGGGGCTGCCAGGCTCGTAGGGTGAGGCTGTACGAGGGGGGGACGTAGACTCGCGAATCGCTTGGCTACGTACTAATTGCTTCGATTTAAAACTCTGAAATTATATAGTAAAGTAAAACAATTTAATGATTAATTTTATATCTTTATTACGTTGATCAGGCTTCAGTGACCGACACCAAGAGTCGTACGTTTGAATCACTGCTGAACCGAACCGAGTCGATATTTGTCAGGCACAGAAGGCCTCTATCTATTCGCCTATTAAGAAAAAAATATGACGAATGTAGCGAAACTGGTCTTTAGAAACATACTGTGTCTATGAATTGAACATAGCATGAAATGGTTGAACCATATATGGCCGGGATACTATTTAAACAAATTTTCCGTATCGTATTTATTTACTAACAAGATTTATATTCTTATTAAACCATATTCTATCATTATATATAAGATACTAGAAGACTCGGCCAAGCGTTGCTGTGGCTAAGATTTTATAAGGTTCTATATTAGGTACATAGTGGTAAACTAATCAAGGGAAACGGTAGGAGAACACCAGTTTTGGGGACCACCATCCTTTTTGGTTGCTATGCCATTAAATTGTAGCTTAACAGCTTACTTTCAACACAGCGCCATCTGTTAGAATTGTGACTATCAAATAATAAACAAATATTTTGCAATAAAATAATATTGCGGGTATAAATTGAGATGTAAGCTATCCTATCTTTTAAGTTGGATCAAACTACACACGGTGTGCAAATTTGATTGATATCGGTTCGGTAGTTTAGGCGTCCATAGCGGACAAATAACGTGACACGTAATTTATATATATTAAGATTACTAGACGATTAATACTCACTCTACTTCTAGTAAGCTGTGCGTCTTCGCTTGCAGTCTTTTCTACTTCTGAGTTATCCATTTTTTTTACACTTTTCACTGAAACAGGTTTAGATTTTATTAAATTTCGACAAACAATTATAAACCATGGAGCTGTAATGATAGGTATAATTTACATCCTAAGTTACGTATTGATGATAATGACAATTAATTCCGGTAGATGACTCTAAAATAAATAACAAGATCTTCCATATTTATTAAAACAAATGAACATTTGGGAACTTTTAACATTATACTAGTGTTTATTTATTTTTAATTAATTTACCTGTATTATGCCGCTCTCGCTCAAAGTTGAGTAACGTGTACAAGGTTTTTAAAATATATAATAGGGGGCACACGAGCCTAAAAAAGTCATCGTAGCCCATGGATACCCATTTTTAGTGGATGCGTTGCCGGCCTTTGAGAAGTACGCTCTAACTTTGAATAGTTTGAGGTCGTATCTCTCAGGAAAGACCCCCAACGGGAGTGGATTCCACAGTTCACTAGTTCTCAAAAGAAAGTGTCTCATAAATATGCCTATTTTATACACAAAATTGAATAATACCAACCTCACACACTCAGAAAAAAACGTGTTATGTACAAAGATATTGGACCTAGGTGAAGGCAACTATGAGACACTTGTTAAAGCTCCAAGTTGGGCTCGATAAGCTCGAAAGGCTGCGCGGGCGCATCGTACGTCAAGCTTGCGAGCTTTTCAGTCTGTGCTTCTTCACTATTGTTGACGCCATTAATCTGAAATTTTAACATATACATTTTAATTTCCCTATTTCGTGTTCTTGATCACTGTCCAATTTAATAAGGGAAAAAATAATTAACATTTCTTGAAACTATATTTAAGATTGAGTAAATGAAAACGCTATTTAAATAAAAACTCGTCAAACAAAACTGACAAAAACTTAATAATAATAGCTTCAAAAGGAATAAAACATTAAGAAGGATTTAATTTTTGACACGACGGAAACATCTTTAATTAGATATAAAATGTATTTATTCATATAAACTAGCCGACCCCACAGACACTGTACGTCTTAAATTAAAAAATAATGTAATTGAAAATCTAAACCATTCTGAAACCCAGTTTAAGACACACAAAGGGGCCTCATAGCCTAGCGGTCTTATTAAGTGACAGCTAGGTGAGGGGTACCGGGTTCGATTCCCGGTTCGAGGGCAAGTTTTAATTTAATTTAAATTTGTTCTCAGCCTTTGGCAAACCGTGCCAGAGCCATAAAAAAAAACACACAAATAATTTATGGGGGGAAACGAGTTTACTTACAAACACACGCATTGAAGATTACCAAGAAAAAATAATTTAAATGAAATGAATAGCTTAAAATACTAGCAAAACCTCCACAGATGTAAATACTAAGAGAAGAATTGACACATTAACGGCCAAAATTAATAATGTATCCTCAATCTATGATTATAACCAATCTTGGACTGATTCATATCTAAAGACCGATCTCCAATCTGCATGCCAATAAACATTTCTGCTATCCGATTGTTTATTTGACAAAAGATTGACAGCAATCTTTTGCGTGATCCTTCCCTCTCGACCGCGTTTCGTTCAATGCAATATATTGTGTTCAAGCATACCAAAAGTGTGCTGTTTTTGGAACGAAATAAAATAAGTAAGACTTAGGGTCTGTTTCACAATGTATGGATAAAGTAGCAAATAGCTATGCAACGTTTTTGTTTGTTTTTTTGTTACGAACAAATAAAGTTACAAAATTCTATAGAAAAACATAGAACCTTAACCTTTTTGTTTGTCATTTAATATTACTTGTAACGAAACGGGCTGTCATTTTCATATGGTATTTTTGTTTGTTAGGTTATTGAGTATTTTAGTATATATTTTAATTTTTAGTTCGGCGCCTTCGGCTTGACCTTTCAAATATACATTTTCTCTGAGTAGTTTGTGTATGTTGTTTTTGTGATTCGAGGTTGGTTCTTTAACTTAAAAAAATGTCTACGCAAAAACGTGAAAGAAGCGTCAATTTCAGCCGGGAAGAAGTTGACCTTCTAACTTCGCTTGTTGCTGACCATAAAAATATATTAGAAAATAAAAAGAGTGACTCAGTCATCTGGCAGGAGAAAGAGCAGTGCTGGAAGACGCTGGAGACGCTGTTTAAAAGCACAAGTGGGGTAAACTTTCGCAGTGCTAAAGCTTAAAGAGGGCTACAAGAAAAAAGTCTGCCTTGATACATGCTGAAACATATCGCACAGGAGGTGGCCCTAGTGCTGCTACTCCTCTTACCCCTATCGAGGAAAAAGTCAAAGACATGATATTGTTGTCTGTCGAAGGAATTGAAAGTCAATTGAAAGGAAGAGCTTCTAAATAAGAGAAAGCAATGGGCATTTGAAGAGGAAGCAAGAGAGCATAAAAGAGAATTATGGGCCATAGAAAAAAATATATTGTTAAATAAATTAGAAAAATAATAGATTTTGTGCCTGCAACAAAGATGTATTGTATTAAAAAAAAATTATTTTTATTTGAATAAAAGCATTGAATTTTTATTTAATTTATCTCAAAAATGTTGTAATTTATAAAATATTATAGTATTAAAGCAAAATAATCACTTATAAGATTACTTCGCACACTTGCATTTCCCACGTTGTCAATTGCGCTTTGATCAATATCATTAGCTGGTTCATCATCATTAATTCTTGTCTTCTTATGTCTTCGCACAGAAGTACGTTGTCTTCTTCCAGCTTCAGAATTACTATCCCAATCGGATAATTGCATTTAAACTTCCAAATCACTATCACTAGAACTGGAAGATGACAAAGATGAATAAATTTTCCCAATGAATATTAAGTTAGGTCGCAATCCCAAACCCAAATCATACTAGTTTCACCGATAGCAATCCGAGATTGATTTGGCCAATCGAAGCAACTGTCAAAATGGACAGATAGGTTGTTGGCATGAGTAAACATTCATTTTCATACAGAGGGCAATCTTCAATCTCTTATCCGCTCTCTGAACGATTGGTTGAATAATTAGATTGGTATCTCAGTCCATGGATTTAATATTGGCATGCTTTTCTTTAGAAATGGATTGAATTGTCAGTCTATGACAGCTAAAATTGGATTGAGATTGCATATTGGTTTTGGCCGTAAGACACAGTGAACAAATTGAATCAAGATAGAGATAAAGATAAGAATGATAGTACGTAATAAGGAAGAAAAAAAACGTGTGGCACTACCACTCTACCAGACTTAGACTAACACACCTATACAGTCTGTCTCACTCTAACGCGTACCGGCTGCATCGGCCGCGCTTACGCTACGTCACCGATCTCGTCAGAGAGATGTGAATACGCAGTATGCGTTCTGTCCCGCTCTAACGCGTATTGGCCGCATCTATATTACGTCATCGTGTGTTAGGTTTTAATTTTCGTTACGGAATTTCTTAATTCGGTCGCCGCGCTCAAATCTATGCAATAGCTTAAAAAGCTTTATTACATATACAATAAAAAATGATGTTTTATTAAAAGAGAAAGTGCGCTAGTCCCTCACTAAGATTCCCTGTGTCGAGGGCAGATACAATTTTAAAATAAACTGTTTCAGCATAAAAATATAAGAAATAAACATTTTCCCATATATTACTCGCTTCCAGCATCAGCCCTTTTATGAATTTTGGCAAGATTTGCGACCTATTCAAGAATATTGCACTCAAATTGCATAAACGTTAGGAATCCCGTAAAAAATCCATTAATTTTAAGTATGTATATCGTGTTTATACAGGAGCTGTTACAGGAGACTTAATTCCATAATATGTATGTTAATCTACCATCAGCATTGCAAGGACACGATTTGTGCAAGTTGCATATATTGTGTGCATTCATGACATTAACAAAAGACGGGAAACAATATTTTATAGCTATCACTTTTCACACGACATCGCGCTGTTAGTATGTTTCCACTGTTTCACGGTTAAGTTACCGCACTAATACGAACATATCATACAAAGTTAATAAAATAATAAAAAGATCTGGATTAAAAATTGTTTTGTTGTGAAAATATTTTAAATCTTCTTTTAAATTCCAGTCGATTTATAGTGGTCTAACTTATTTGTTATGGGTTTTATATATATATATATATATATATCTATATATATATATATATATATATATATATATATCCTTTCCATATTTATTATTGTACATAATTAACCTATAATAATACAATTTATTACGAGTAAATTAAGTAAATACACTTTTGTGGTAGTAAACGTCCAAACACTACTCCTACTTTTCAGTAATCAACGAAATTTAAAAATAAATTTCAAAACAAATTTATCCGTACTAATTTAGTTCGTCTTAGTTACTATTATAATCGATTTAGATTACCGATTCGATTATTACTTGACTGTGACAACTGAATTCTTTTTAATGGCTTCCCAATATATTCTTTTTTAATACATTGAATAAAAATATAATTTATTCATGTAGCTTAATGCACTATTATGAGCGTCAGTAAAGGATGCTGCTAAATTTATCTTTACTGCCAGTTTTCAAATTAAGATCGTAGAACGAGTTCTAGAATAGAAGACCTAGATTAGATAAGAACTGGCAATAAACTTCTCGTCACTCTTGTAAATCGCCAAGGTTTTTTACAAAATGTTTGTAAGCACCTGCAACCATTACATCACGCTCCCATCACATTTTAAAACAGTTCATCTCAGTCGTATTCTCCAATGCTGAAGGTCGCGTCACTTTAAGATGCCTGCAGCCCTGCTAGTGGTATATCTCCACTTTGTTCGGTCTACAGCTTCCCTTAGCGCATAACAGCTACCCGTGATTATCGTGACTATGTGACAGCAACGAACGGCAATCTGCCCCGAGCCTTTTTGCTTTTCCCACCTTTCTTATGACATCCAGCTTGTCCAAGTTATCTGGTTCGCGACGGGCGATTATTTTATGCATGTTGCTGAGTCTCGTACAAGCTGAGCTGAGCTGAGTTAATGTCATTAAATAAGAAATAATTAACAAATAGAAAAACCAAACGATACACCTCTACCAG